TTGAGGTGACTGAAGCAGTGCAACATGGAGTGGTCAGGACGCCTACAGGTAGTGCCAGCAGCGGGGCCAGTCAGAGTCCGGTACCAGCAGGGCCCGACGTCGCGGCCACTGAGACTAGTCGCCCAACAGTCTGGGCCGCTACTAGGGCCAATGCTCCTCGGAGCACCAGGATCCCACTGCCGCTGACGGCGTCACTGCTGATAAGGTCCCTACTGCTTGGACTGCTGCAGCTGCCCCTTCTGCTGCAGAGTACCAGTGGATGACATGGTGAAAGGGAGCTGAGACTAGGAACGGCTAGCAACGACCGTCAAGGAAAACCAGGCTAGGAGCTGCTGGAGCTAGAAACGGCTGCAGCTAGGAATGGCTGGAGCGGCTGGAGCGAGGAGTGGCTGAAGCTAGACACGGCCAGAGCTAGGAAAAGGTGGTGCGAGAAGCAGCTGGAGCTAGGAACGGCTAGAGCTAGGAGCGGCTGGAGCTAGGAACGGCTGGAGCTAGGGGCGGCTAGAGCTGGGAGTGGCTGGAGCTAAGAGTGGTTGGAGCTAGACACGGCCGGAGCGAGGAACGGCTAGAGCTAGGTGGCCTGGAGCTAGGAGTGGATGGATTTAGACACGGCCAGGGCTACGAAAGCTGGAGGGAGGAACGGCTGGAGCTGGAAATGGCTGAAGCTCGGAGTGGCTGGAGCTAGACACGGCCAGAGCTAGGAAGTGCTGGAGGGAGGAACGTCAGTCTGGAAGCTAGCCCGACCAATGAGGTGTGGCTGGCTAAGAACCGCACGTCAGAAACGTCGCTCAAAACGCAAATCTGCGCCAGGAAGAGGAAGCTAGGAACGAGAACTGCGGATGCCAGCCGCCACTAGAAGAGCCACTGGCAGTGAGAACGGCTCGGGAGGACGGATTGGTGTGGTGTGCAACTGGTGATGGGTTGTGGGGACTGTCGGCGAGGCTCGTGCTGCTGGCAAGCGACGCACGCTGCTGTTGGCTGGGGCGCGCGCTCTGGCTGGTTGGGGAGCACGCTCTGGTGGACTGGGGTGCGCGCATTGCTGGCCTGAGTGCGCCGCTTCTGTTGGATGTGTGCGCGGTGCCTACGTGCGGGGCGCGTTCGCTGCCTACGGGCGGGGGGCACTGCCTGCTGCTGGCGCTCGCGGCTGGACGGCGCGTGCAGCTGGGCGGCGTGCTTTCTAGCACGCTGTGCTTGCTAGCTCGCGCTGGTCTAGCTGCTGGCTGGCTGGTGGCAAGGGCTGGCGCTACTGGCTGGCAGGCGGAGACGGAGAGAACGAGGCAAGTTGACCACCGGAGGCACTAGGAGCTAGGACAGTCTAGGACAGAGACAACCTAGGAACTAACTGATGAAACCATGTAAGAGATAGGCCAGTGGAATGGGTGAAGTGGGATACAAGTAGGAAACCCTAAATGGGTTGTACCCTCTAAACGGCACCTCACTGTAGCCAAGATAAATAACAAGACCATATGTTTATAATTTCACAGATCTGTCCATAAAAAGTACGATATCATTTTCATATATTTAGCTATATTATTTGGGCACACATATCGACCGGGTACCTACCATACCAGAGCAAGCTTTGTTATTATACTCTACGAATTGGGCACTACTTATGAATTTACCTGTAACAAAAACAGTTGAGCACGAATCCTTGGGCTCCACTTTCTTCGATGTGCCTTTCTTGCAAACAACGCTTGCTGTGAATGACCAATAGTCTGCCCTCAGACAAACCTGCCATAACAGACATATGAATGCCACAGTTGACAAGTGATTCTGACAAGAACTACATACCGTAATAGAGACAAACGCGAGAAGGAAAAAATAATATCCTGAGTAATACCCTGAGTGCCAATTGGTGTTAACAGTTCCCACGACTCCGACCCAGTGAAAGATCTTCCACAGACATTTACCTTTGTTCAGCAATTTAAAACCCCCATTTTCTTGCTCTCTGCCCACCCCCTGATTACTTCTTCACCCGGCTATCCGCCTGGACCTCCCCCCTCTCACCCCTACTCTATCCCTTCCGTATCCCGTTTTACTTGCACCGCCTACCCTCACCTGCACTTTGATGTTGCTAGGGAAGGCGCTGGAGCAAGTGAGGCCGGGATTGTTGCGGTACAGCTCAACCCAGTCACTTCCAGTGACAGTTGCACCCGGCTCGTTGATGGACCTTTGAAGCAGCACCTCACACGTGTCTTGTGGTGTCAACGTGCCGTATCTTCGACACTCAGGGGCAGAGTAGGCGAAGGAAGAGTTGCGCTCGATGCACACTGAATGGCCTGCCTTGAGGCCATTGGGCGAACAGTTGAGGCCAGGGTTGAGCTGGACAAGATCTTCATCACCCAAGGTGAGTTGCGAGCTGATGGATGTACACGTGTCACTCTGGGAAGTTGGACACAGCAAGATAGAATGCACGTGTTGAGAGCACTTGAATATAGCTACAATGGGATCTACACAGCTGGTTTACGGTGTGGTGAAAGAAGGGACCGCCTCATCTCACCTTGAGGGCGTAGAAGAAGGCAGTGCAAGGTATGTCAGGAGCACCGTCCAGCTGAAGGACACTGCCCCTGGGCAATGGCTGGCTGCAATCTATCCCCTGCATTGTTAAAAAATATGAGTGCGTTGATCGCAAACGCCGACCAAAAAGAATGATGCAAAAATGTCAGAACGTGCAAATACATGCGTGGGGCCAACGTACTTTCCACACTCCTCAACCCACTGCTTACAGTATTGGTAGAGATGACCTTTCCCAGTGGGATCCCAACAAGTGCAGAAACATTTGAACAATGCCAGTTGTCTCCAGTAACTGTCATGCTGGTGGCTGTATTATTTGCTGTGTACATAGCGAGTAGAGCAAGAAGAGGGCATCAAGGAAAGACAGAGGAGTAATGTTAGGAAGAAATGGCATGTTTCATTGTACTATGCAAGAGACCCGAAATAGGACAACATGAAGTCATTTGAGAAAAAACTTGGCCCACTGAGTCATCACCTGGATCACAGGTGGGGAGGCCATAAAATGTGACTCTCTCAATGTAGTTGGGAGGGCAGATGCAGGAGTAGGAGCCCTTGAGATCGTTGATGCATGTGCCCACGTAGCAGGGGTTCTTGAAGTACGACCCACACACGTCCACTGCCACAAATGGTAGTGGGGTGATGGATAATGCACAGATTGGAGGAAAGCAGCATGAGAAATGCAGGATATGGGTACAAGGAACGCATGAGTGATAGGACATGTGTAGAGCAAAGGTTCTCATGCCATGCCACATTACCTCAGCATGGGATGAGAAAAGTGAGGAGAAGAGAGAGAAACCAAGCTCCTAGGTCTCTTACATGTGTATAGGTTCTCCTATGCCTCTTATTCTTATTACGTTCAAGCTCGGCAGAAATCTCGTCTGGTACCTCCTTCAATTCCTTACATGCTCGCCCCACCCAGCTGTAGCACATCTGATCCTGCTCTTTGAGGCTGACGCCAAAGCTTCCCCAACTCTACCCTGACGACTCGCAGCGGTTGAAGCTGCACTGCCTCGCGGGGCACTGAGCGTCCTGGTGGAAGGACGGAGAGGCAAAACTACAGCAGGCCCACTCGGTGACCGTCCGCTCCACCCACACCACCATCCGCGCAATCCCCTGCCTGCATATGTCTGGGGGCAGGCTGTGCCGTTTCAGCTCTCAATGCCACTCGGAGGTGGAAATCAAATGGCGATGCAGTCCGGGCACATTCTCTGTGTGGCAAAAGCTGACCACGCACCCTTCACCCATGAGGCGGTCAGATTGTGCTGGAGGATCCTACTCCTGTAACAAAGCCCCGCACCTTCCTGAGGATTTCATGGCAACCCCAACCACGGCCAGAGAGAGCGGATCATGGCCCGATAGTCCCACAGGCTCACTTGCAGCAGCACACTGCAACGCAGGGGGGAGACACTCTGCTGAGCTCTCCCTATCGCGATATCACTCAGTGCCACTGGATGCCCTAACACCGACTTTGGACGGATACCAGCGATGGCGGTTGGTGCGCACGCAGTCATCGAGGGCGCGGACTTGCCCAAGGCATGCGGAGTCCGCACGGGCAAATGGCGATTCGAGTCTTACATGACTCGCTTAGACGAGTGTATTTCCACTGACATGTGACTGTCAAGTCGAGTTTCCCTCGTCAAGTTTTCTGTGTCAAGTTTTCTTTGCCCAGTCCGCACTGCGGACGACCAGAGATGGACTAAAAACGGCTTCCAGGTAGGCGTATCTTACAGCTATGAATTAGTTTCCAGGTTAGGAGGGCTATTTTTTGGGGCAGCCCGAGAATAAAAAGCGAATAACAAGATTGACCATGCAAGCGACTTTGCGAAGCTTCTCATGCTGAGACGTGCCCCATCACACTTGGGCCTGGACAGGGTTCTTACCTACCTCTCTCCCTGAGTCACTGAACCCAGCATAAGATCCCCTCCCCATCCCCCCCTCGACCCAGCACTGCCCCATGGCCTCTACAAGCCTCATCAGGCGCCAGACCACCCCCAGGAACTTCATAAGGCCAGGCCCCCCACACCCCTGAGGCACAAACCCGGCACTTATAGATTGCCTACCCCAATGCATCGAACTGAACCGCAGCTGTTTTTTGACCATCTAGTTTGACTAGAACCCGGCTTGGTTCAACATCTAACCGGTTTGATGGTTCTATTGGCAGTTTTTCCCACCCAAGTTGAATCGAACCGATTTGATGCCGATTTCAGTTGGACGTGAGAACCAACGCGCCTTGGTAAAAAGCTGAAACTTGAAGCTCAGTTCCAACCCCAGCTCTTTCTCTAATTACCAAGCCCATTCCGCCACACCAAACCAAACTAGGGTGTTCTCACCAAACCGTTATGTTCAACTCTCAGATCTCTCGTTGAGGGTGTTCATGGGCAATATACTTATCTCTTTACAATTACAGGGAGAAGGATGCTCCCCAGAACTCACCATAAGCACATGTTTGGGCGCCAATTCCGTTTGCAACCGCAACAAATGGTTGCCTAGCCAGAGGAACGATTTCAATAATGCAGGTGCATGTATTGCCTTCCTTAGTCTTCTGGCAAGGGAACCGGCCGCAAGGACTCATGCCGTCCGAATCCTTATCTCCCTTGTAACTGCTGATGCCGCATGGGTCGTCTGGATCTGCGAGGTGAAGAGAGGGTGCATTTCAAAGTAAACACATGTAGCCAGACGATCAGATGGCCGTAGAACGATCCAGCAATTTAACGACCCTGCAACGCGTTACATGGTACCAGAATTACTTGTGCCACTAGAAGTGTTTTCAACATTCCAAATCCGCCACCGTCCATTTCACATCAACCTGAACCGAACCAGCTTGATTTAATCTTGAGGTTGGTGTGACCTAAACTGCTTCAAGTTCGGTTCTTGCAATATGCCTGTTAGGGAATTTGATGGAATTCGCAAGGTGGAAAATATGTGAAGCAAAATGTTTGCACAAAAAAAATCGGTTGCACTATGAAAACTTCAGCAATATTTTTGTTAGGCTTAACGAAACATTCTGTTAGGCCTAGCAGGATATTGTGCCAGAGGTGGTTGGTGGCACTACATCAGCAACAGTACTACAGTGGGGACAGGCCACCAGTTAATGGCCAGATGCCCTGCTGAGTCCCTGTCATGAATCGCAGATGCTACTGTATACTACTTTGAACAAAACAGGTGGGGGTGGGCGGGAGACGGGGGGTAGAGGGAGGGGGGGGAGACGGGGGGTGCCAGTGTTGTACATTCTTCACCCTTGAGCATCCTTACTCTTGACAATGGGGTAGATGCCAGGCAGCACGTTGATGCCACACACGCCATCCCCTCCCTGTATGTCCATGCGCATGTGGCCCCTGTCGCCCCACTCCACTCCCCACGAGTTTCGGATGATCCAAAATGGTGGAGGGATGCGGTTCTGGCTGCCGTCGTCGCGATTGATGAAGTAGCCAACAACGAGCACCACATGGTTCAGACTGCCCGTGTAGCACGCAGCATCCTGGTACTTGAACGTCTAGAGGGGAAAGGGGAATAGTGAAGCTGACGAGAGATGGACAAAAGTGGACCTTTCATCCCGAACCATCCTAAAGAACCTCCCTGTCATCGTTAGTAATCTTGTGGAACTTGAGCTGCGGGCTTTAAGGAGCGGTAGGGGGTGGTGGCTGGTTTGGGAGGAGTTGGGCAATGTGGATGTTGAGTTGGTTTTTGCTTGAAAATTGGGCCAATCTTCAAGGCAGGTTTAAGCAACCGTTGGAGCTAGCGTAGAACTCACCCCATCATAGTGGAAGAACGACTCACCCCATCATACTGGAAGAACGACTCACCCCATCATACTGGAAGAACGACTCACCCCATCATACTGGAAGAACGACTCACCCCATCATACTGGAAGAACGATTCACCCCATCATACTGGAAGAACGACTCACCCCATCATACTGGAAGAACGACTCACCCCATCATACTGGAAGAACGACTCACCCCATCATACTGGAAGAACGACTCACCCCATCGTACTGGAAGAACGACTCACCCCATCATACTGGAAGAACGATTCACCCCATCATACTGGAAGAACGACTCACCCCATCATACTGGAAGAACGACTCACCCCATCATACTGGAAGAACGACTCACCCCATCATACTGGAAGAACGACTCACCCCATCATACTGGAAGAACGATTCACCCCATCATACTGGAAGAACGACTCACCCCATCATACTGGAAGAACGACTCACCCCATCGTACTGGAAGAACGACTCACCCCATCATACTGGAAGAACGACTCACCCCATCATACTGGAAGAACGACTCACCCCATCATACTGGAAGAACGATTCACCCCATCATACTGGAAGAACGACTCACCCCATCATACTGGAAGAACAACTCACCCCATCATACTGGAAGAACGACTCACCCCATCATACTGGAAGAACGATTCACCCCATCATACTGGAAGAACGACTCACCCCATCATACTGGAAGAACGATTCACCCCATCATACTGGAAGAACGACTCACCCCATCATACTGGAAGAACGACTCACCCCATCATACTGGAAGAACGACTCACCCCATCATACTGGAAGAACGATTCACCCCATCATACTGGAAGAACGACTCACCCCATCATACTGGAAGAACGACTCACCCCATCATACTGGAAGAACGACTCACCCCATCATACTGGAAGAACGACTCACCCCATCATACTGGAAGAACGACTCACCCCATCATACTGGAAGAACGACTCACCCCATCGTACTGGAAGAACGACTCACCCCATCATACTGGAAGAACGATTCACCCCATCATACTGGAAGAACGACTCACCCCATCATACTGGAAGAACGACTCACCCCATCATACTGGAAGAACGATTCACCCCATCATACTGGAAGAACGACTCACCCCATACTGGAAGAACGACTCACCCCATCATACTGGAAGAACGACTCACCCCATCATACTGGAAGAACGACTCACCCCATCATACTGGAAGAACGACTCACCCCATCATACTGGAAGAACGATTCACCCCATCATACTGGAAGAACGATTCACCCCATCATACTGGAAGAACGACTCACCCCATCATACTGGAAGAACGATTCACCCCATCATACTGGAAGAACGATTCACCCCATCATACTGGAAGAACGACTCACCCCATCATACTGGAAGAACGATTCACCCCATCATACTGGAAGAACGACTCACCCCATCATACTGGAAGAACGACTCACCCCATCGTACTGGAAGAACGACTCACCCCATCGTACTGGAAGAACGACTCACCCCATCATACTGGAAGAACGATTCACCCCATCATACTGGAAGAACGACTCACCCCATCATACTGGAAGAACGACTCACCCCATCGTACTGGAAGAACGACTCACCCCATCGTACTGGAAGAACGACTCACCCCATCGTACTGGAAGAACGACTCACCCCATCATACTGGAAGAACGATTCACCCCATCATACTGGAAGAACGACTCACCCCATCATACTGGAAGAACGACTCACCCCATCATACTGGCAGAACGACTCACCCCATCATACTGGAAGAACGACTCACCCCATCATACTGGAAGAGCGATTCACCCCATCATACTGGAAGAACGACTCACCCCATCGTACTGGAAGAACGACTCACCCCATCGTACTGGAAGAACGACTCACCCCATCGTACTGGAAGAACGACTCACCCCATCGTACTGGAAGAACGACTCACCCCATCGTACTGGAAGAACGACTCACCCCATCATACTGGAAGAACGACTCACCCCATCATACTGGAAGAACGACTCACCCCATCATACTGGAAGAACGACTCACCCCATCGTACTGGAAGAACGACTCACCCCATCGTACTGGAAGAACGACTCACCCCATCGTACTGGAAGAACGACTCACCCCATCATACTGGAAGAACGATTCACCCCATCATACTGGAAGAACGACTCACCCCATCGTACTGGAAGAACGACTCACCCCATCATACTGGAAGAACGACTCACCCCATCATACTGGAAGAACGATTCTCCCCATCATACTGGAAGAACGATTCACCCCATCATACTGGAAGAACGACTCACCCCATCATACTGGAAGAACGATTCACCCCATCATACTGGAAAAACGACTCACCCCATCATACTGGAAGAACGACTCACCCCATCGTACTGGAAGAACGACTCACCCCATCATACTGGAAGAACGATTCACCCCATCATACTGGAAGAACGACTCACCCCATCATACTGGAAGAACGACTCACCCCATCATACTGGAAGAATGACTCACCCCATCATACTGGAAGAGCGATTCACCCCATCATACTGGAAGAACGACTCACCCCATCGTACTGGAAGAACGACTCACCCCATTGTACTGGAAGAACGACTCACCCCATCGTATTGGAAGAACGACTCACCCCATCATACTGGAAGAACGACGCACCCCATCATACTGGAAGAACGACTCACCCCATCATACTGGAAGAACGACTCACCCCATCATACTGGAAGAACGACTCACCCCATCATACTGGAAGAACGACTCACCCCATCATATTGGAAGAACGATTCACCCCATCATACTGGAAGAACGACTCACCCCATCGTACTGGAAGAACGACTCACCCCATCGTACTGGAAGAACGACTCACCCCATCGTACTGGAAGAACGACTCACCCCATCATACTGGAAGAACGACTCACCCCATCATACTGGAAGAACGATTCACCCCATCATACTGGAAGAACGACTCACCCCATCGTACTGGAAGAACGACTCACCCCATCGTACTGGAAGAACGACTCACCCCATCATACTGGAAGAACGATTCACCCCATCATACTGGAAGAACGACTCACCCCATCATACTGGAAGAACGACTCACCCCATCATACTGGAAGAACGATTCACCCCATCATACTGGAAGAACGACTCACCCCATCATACTGGAAGAACGATTCACCCCATCATACTGGAAGAATGACTCACCCCATCATACTGGAAGAGCGATTCACCCCATCATACTGGAAGAACGACTCACCCCATCGTACTGGAAGAACGACTCACCCCATTGTACTGGAAGAACGACTCACCCCATCGTATTGGAAGAACGACTCACCCCATCATACTGGAAGAACGACTCACCCCATCATACTGGAAGAACGACTCACCCCATCATACTGGAAGAACAACTCACCCCATCATACTGGAAGAACGATTCACCCCATCATACTGAAAGAACGACTCACCCCATCATACTGGAAGAATGACTCACCCCATCATACTGGACGAACGACTCACCCCATCATATTGGAAGAACGACTCACCCCATCATACTGGAAGAACGATTCACCCCATCATACTGGAAGAACGACTCACCCCATCGTACTGGAAGAACGACTCACCCCATCGTAATGGAAGAACGACTCACCCCATCATACTGGAAGAACGACTCACCCCATCATACTGGAAGAACGACTCACCCCATCATACTGGAAGAACAACTCACCCCATCATACTGGAAGAACGATTCACCCCATCATACTGGAAGAACGACTCACCCCATCGTACTGGAAGAACGACTCACCCCATCATACTGGAAGAACGACTCACCCCATC